TACTGTTCTGCAGCTTTAGCTAATGTCCTGCATCTTAGCCACTGTTCTGCAGCTTGAAGCTACTGTTCTGCAGCTTTAGCTACTGTTCTGCAGCTTTAGCTAATGTCCTGCATCTTAGCCACTGTTCTGCAGCTTGAAGCTACTGTTCTGCAGCTTTAGCTACTGTTCTGCAGCTTTAGCTAATGTCCTGCATCTTAGCCACTGTTCTGCAGCTTTCAGCCACGCTTCTGCAACTTTAGCTACTGTTCTGCAACATTTAGCTACTGTTATGCAGCTTTTAGCCACTGTTGTGCAACTTTAGCTACTGTTCTGCAGCTTTAGCTACTGTTCTGCAACTTTAGCTATTGTTCTGCAGCATTAGCTACTGTTCTGCAGCTTTAGCTACTGTTCTGCAGCATTAGCTACTGTTCTGCAACTTTAGCCACTGTTCTGCAACTTTAGCTACTGTTCTGCAGCTTTAGCTACTGTTCTGCAACTTTAGCTACTGTTCTGCAGCATTAGCTACTGTTCTGCAACTTTAGCCACTGTTCTGCAACTTTAGCTACTGTTCTGCAACTTTAGCCACTGTTCTGCAACTTTAGCTACTGTTCTGCAACTTTAGCCACTGTTCTGCAACTTTAGCTACTGTTCTGCAGCTTTCAGTGTTTTCTATATTTTTTGCTACTTATAGCTGCAGGTGTTTTACTTTTAAACTGTTCCTTTTAACTGTTGACTAAGTTTTTGCTACCATTCTGTTCCTTTTAGCTGTTATGTCTATATTTTGGCTACCATTCAACTAATTCCAGAAATCATTTAGCTAATTTTACCTTTAAGCTTTCTGCTCCTTTTAGGTTTTGGCTAAGTTTTGTAAATTTAAGCTACTATCTTGTTCCTTTTAGCTGTAGATTTTCTATCTTTGGCTTTTAGCTACTTTTAGCTGCCATCCTGTTCGTTCTAAGTTTTGCTTGTTTTACCTTTAATGACTCAGATTTTTCAACTTCATTTGTTAATTTTCACTATTATTTTTAGCTACTATTTAGCTGTTTTTCTTGTGTTTCCATCYGGGTTTTTGATTTTTCTCCTGCAGTTTTTGGAAACGTGAAACAAACCAGCTCAGACATCATTAGATACATGAGCTGCACTGCTGTTTTCAGAACTTCAGCTCTTTTTACATCAGCTGAAATTTTTTTTTGGCGTCAGCAGAAACAGGTGCTGCTCAGACGGTTCTGTTTAAGAATCGAGCTTTTTAAACGTCTGAACTTTAATCTGTCAGATTTAATCTGGGACACAGACAGATAGTTGTAATCCAGACTGGACCTCTCAGAACCTCCTGTGTCCTCTGCAGATCCTCCTCCGGTGGCGTTGGTTCCTAACGAGCAGCAGTTGACCCGGCTCACCGACTACGTGGCTTTCCTGGAGAACTGAAGCCCTGAAGCTCCACCCGCCGCAGCTTCTCCCCCCGTTTACTGAAGACGATCCAAACGCACCTGTCAGCCCGACGCCACGTTTTCTCTAGATGTTTATGATGTTTTTCTTTTTGTCATAATAAACTCCAACCTGTACAGTTTCACCTCTTGTTTCAGTGTTTCTGAATAAATATGTTTTTTTTTTTAATCAGGCTTTAACTTTGACACGTTCAGCTTTTATTTAAATAAAGTTTCGCACGCAGCCGGTCTTAAATGTGAGCTTTATTTAGACGAGCTTCGTCTGATTTGATGAAGTTATAAATACATCTGGCTGCCATCTGCTGCATCACAACATTTTTATTTCCTCTAATCCAGTTTTGCAGCAGGATCTTTTGTTTCTGCTGTAATTAAAGGAAAGTTCAGCTGTTTTCATGTGATTTACTGAAAAATCAGTTTGTTTTTATAACTTGTGGCTCCAAACTATTAGCTGAAGCCTCTAACTTGTCTTTTTTGTTGGTGTCATGGCTTTCGGCTTGTCGTTGGGGGTCTATATTTAGACCCGTCCCAGAAACACGTGCAGACTTCGGCTCATGTTGAGGCCTGTTTTGAATCAGCCTGTGTCTGATCGCCTCCATATTTAAACAGAACTAATTTTAAACGTGCAGGGGGAGGGGAGGGGGAAATCCCCCCACTTAAACCAGTTTCATCCTTGAGTACCAAACCCTTTACTTGATCTGCAATTTTAATTTTAATATTTAGGATTATAGAACCTCATGAGCAACGGAGATAAAAATATAACATGAAAATCTTAAAGGTTAAATTAATCGTGACYAAAGATAACCAGTCTAAATGTTGTTTGCCGTGTTTATTTTTTATTAACTTTTATTTAACAATTCAAATCACATATGTTTATATGGTATATGTTTTGTTATAATTTTTTTATATGATTTAATGTTTTTTAGGGGTGGTCATTAACCCCTCTGACCCCCCTCCTTAGTGGCACCCCTGCTAGCCCGAGTTAATTTATCCAACTAGTTTTGTTTCATCATCTCAAAATATTAATTATTATGGATTATTATATTAATTAATGTCAAATAAACTTTTTTATAAGGGGTGGAAAAAAGGGGAGTCATGAAATAAATATGTCTTCTTTTATTTTCCGTAAATTGTTAATAAACCAGTTTGACCAGTTGAAGAAACTATCCCAGTGTTCCCACAGCCTGAATGGCTTTATCTAAGCACATGGCCGGTTAGCTCAGTTGGTTAGAGCGTGGTGCTAATAACGCCAAGGTCGCGGGTTCGATCCCCGTACGGGCCAGGTTCAGCTTTTTTTATATTGATTTATTTTTTGGTTAAATCGCATTTGTCATTCTTTGGATTTTTAATGTGTAATAATAATAAATTATATAAGTAAATTATATCAATGATAATAACAATCCAGGGTTATTTTTGCAGTATGGAAACAGCCTTTCCACACTTCCTTTTTTTTAAAGGGAAGCCTGAGTCTTTAAAAATTACCTGCTCAAACAAACAGAGAACTTCATATACGTGTGTGACTCTAAACAAAAACACATTGCATGACATTTCATGAGAACCACTTTGTAAAACATGACATTTAAACGTCCTGATGCATCTCAGTAATCCAGGTAAAAAATCAAAAAGAAAAAAATAGTTTAGGTCTTCTGGACGGGTTCTTCTC